ACAATCCTCTGAGAAGTGGGGGGAGGCGGGGGGGGAAGAGAGGGGAAGGAAGCGAGGAGATAGAGAAGTGCTGCAAAAGCTGATGGCTGAAATGCACCGCCTGATTCATTTGGAAGTTTGTTGCAGCAGCCCTTGGAGAAGATGTTTCAGCCAGCACAGGTGTTTAGGCACAGCTCCAAGACCGTCTGTCCCCCGCTTCAAGTATTCTTGCCCTCGGCTTTATTCCCTGATGCTTCCCATGCAGGAAACAATTTCCAGTGGAGGGATGTTCCAGAAAGGTGCGTGGACTTAACTCCAGAATCCTCAGCAATGACCACACAGGTTGAGGGATTTGGGAGTCCAAGTCCTTATCTCTGGAAGGTGTCCAGGCTGGAAAGATTTTATTGGCTCCTGGGGAAAGAGCTATTAGCTTACAACCTGCTCGTGGGCTTGCTAAAGGCATTGAGTTGACCACCCTGGGAGAAGAGGTGTTTCTTACATGTTCTTAAGATCCCACCACTTGGCGTGAGCAAGCTGCCTTCAGCAGAGCTGCACAAAAAGTTGATTGGGAGATTTTCTTTGAAGGAGATTTGATTTAATTTCCACCTCAAATTGACGGGCTTAATTGAATCGGAAAGCCAAATCAAATAGACAAATTGAATCAGAGGCCTCTAAAAAGATTCAGACGCTTCTGGGCACGCCCAGCCATCTTCTCCCTCTATCCATTCAGAAATCCAGATTGATTCAATCTGAATGGCCAAAGCGTATTGGATTTCTTTTCGGCCCCTTCTCCATTCAAAAGGCAGGATCAGACTCTTCTTGTTTCTTCTGCCCCCAAACTGAATCAAGACCTCAACTGGGAGCTTGCCCAATGCACCTTGCCCCTTCTGCATCCCTTCCACCAGAGCTGTCCATCTTAGACCCCATCTTTTGAGCCCCCTTCCCTGGGAAGACCCTTTCTAGTTTGCTGATTCTGCTCCTCTTCTTCAGTTAGGAACAACCAGGCCCTCGGCTTCCGGAGGCAACGCCAGGCTGCGGAGGTCCCAGATGAACCCAGCTCTGCAAGGTGCGGGGGGAAGAGGCCCGACCTTCTGCAGGAATCAGCCCTCAAGCAACAAAGGAAAAAGAGGGAGGGAGAGAGCAGAGGCGAAGCCAAAGCTGAGCATGAAGTCAAATATAAAACCCATTTCCCTCCTACACCAAAGAACAGCAAACAAAGATTTTTAGAGTAGATACCTCTGGCACTATTGTGCTCTGGCCAATGAATTTCCCAGGCACCGCAGCCATGAAATAAGACTGAAAGCCTGTTTCGACTGTGAGCCTGCTGTTTGAAATGCCCTGTGGATGAATAGCACGCAGCTAGGGCCTGATTCTCCCTGCTCCTCGGCTTTTCTGTCTGCTTCTTCCCTCCCCGCTTCCGAAATAATAACAGCAAAGTCCCCCAAAGAATGCCTTCTTGGCTTGAGAGAGGGGGACACCAAAAAGCTTGGTGGGGTGGGTTGCAGGGTTAACAAAGGGAACATTTGGGGGGGGGGAGAAAGATACATGCAGTCAGTTCCTCCAAACATGCTGAAACCTTCGTGGAAAGAAGAGGCTCTCTCTGGCGATTCGCCTTCTGTAGGTCTGAGCGGCCAATTTTTAGAAACGCACCGAGCGCATTCCAGTCCTGGGGTCTCTTTTCTGTTGCTGCATCCATGCTGTTCCTTTGAACAGGGAGGGCTCAAGGCATTTTGCTGCCTGAAGTAGAGAACAAGCAGTGGGGCTAACTTTGGTGAGCCAACACAAACGCAGGGGAGGAAGAGAGATGTTGTTGACTGGGAATGCGTTCTAAGGCAAACTTGCCTGCTTTGCACTGGAGAGCGCAGAGCAAAGCTCTTGTATTCCTCCAAATGTTGTGATGTGATATGGAAGGGAAGGGAAGGGAAGGGAAGGGAAGGGA